ACGTTCTTAAAAATCATGCAATATTTTCTCCTTGTACTTTTAAATATACAGATACTAAATTAAGCTTAGATGTTACATCTATATAGATTCTAAAATTATTACATAATTTTTGTCCAATCAAATTAATTTATTTTATTTTGATCATAATGTTTATCGATCCATAAACAAGATTTATCATATTCTACAAATTTCTTGTTTGTTGATCATCATTAACTAATAGATACTAATATCATTTTATTTATTTTTCTGCAAAAGAAAATTTTCCCATGTCATTTAAATTTTTCCTATACTAATTTTTCAAATATAAAAATCCCCTTTTCAAATTTCTTCTTTTTCTAAAGAAAATTTTTATACTATCAAAATTATTGTTATTTTCTTTTTATAAATTTTTGATTTCTCTTTGATAAAATATATTCCATCCGTTGAAGATTTAATGAATAATATTTAAAGTTACTGTGATGTTTTAAGTTTACTAAAGTATTGAGGGGACGCTACACATCTGATACTTTCTGACTAGAGATTGAATGGAGTTAATATAAGCACTGTATTAATGTAGATATTTATCTTATTTTTTTTTCTAGTCAAAATAGCTTATACATGTTATCAAAGAAGAGCTATGGTTAGAATAAACAACAAGAAATCTCCATTCACTCATCATAAAGCTTTAATCTATCAAAGAGAACATAATAGTGAAAGAGTTTTTGAAGGTGAGATAGGTAGACTTAAAAATGGTCTTAGACTAGATGACTGGGTATATGGAATGTATCTCAGCACAGGCTTTGCCTGAGCTTCATGGAATATGCAACCCATCCGTCATCTAAAGGAGTGTGACAGTATATTCAACCTCACTTAGTTTGACTGCAGCATTCTAACATTTTTACGTTAACCGCAGGATTTCATTAAAATACTTCATTGGCAGAGACTCATCAGGAAAATTTGGAATCACGTCAAGAAAACTTAGACCTAAGAAGACAATTAGCAATTTCCTTAAATCATTCTGATGAATTTTCTTTTGAATATACTCATTTGAAAAATAAATTAACACAGCATTCTTCTCTTTTAACCTATAGAAAGAATAGATCTAATAGACTTAAAAAAGCTTATCAATAGTGTAGAGGAGAGTTACGTTTACTCTGAGAAGAAGGTCTTCCAGAAGATCTCCAAAAAATACAAGAATTAAATCATCTAGTTGAATAACTTTGCCATAATTACGAGTAATCTCTTGATTATCAACATGCTGAAAACTTGAGAAAATAACTAGGTAAACTGCACTCCATGATTTACCAGAGTTTTAATGATACAGTTTACAAGATTGTTAGCATAGCGAGGCTCAAGGAATAGTCACTTAAAGGAATTTGCTTTCCTAGATACAGAATGCAAGTGTGTCACTCCCTGCTAACTTTACAATATCTTCTTTTGTTTATAATAGATAATTTGCATCAAATTTTCTTCGATTTCTCCAAAGAAAAGATTTTTTCAAATAGTGATATAGAATATAGATTTCATATGAGATTTTTCTGTCCTCATGCGAATTAAGTATAATTTTTCTTTTAATGTTCATTTTCAATTTTCATGATCAGATATTATTAATTTCTACTTGAGGAGGATGTCGTACACTTCAGCCTTAAACTACGCTTTGTTATATGCTTCAGTCGTTCATGAGACTACACTCCCCTTTCTCTCTTTTATAGCAAAATATTTTTATTGTTAATGTAATTTTCTAAAATAGTTTTCTCTATATGTCTTTTTATCTTTTGTTCTCTTCAAAAATTATGTATTTTCCAATATTCAATAAAATTTTACGTATCATCGCACTTTTGCTTATTAAAAATTTTATAATTCGACATATGTTGTCAAATGTCATCATTTTACGTGATATATAAAATAAAATTAAGTAAAATAAAATAATAATAAAAAAAATAAAATCTCTATATCTTTTCCAATAAAATTCTGTTTCTATTAGCTAAATGATTTCTTTATCAGACTTTACGATCTTAGGAATTTCTACCTTCTACAGGCATTTGGAATCATTTGCTAAAAATTTCTATGCTTTTTACTAGGCTTAGCAATAATCTCCACAGATTTTTCTACGGGATTGGTGAAAACCCAAAGCCCTTACTTTTTATTTAAGACTCAGTAGTAACCCTTTTTCTCAAATAAAAATAAAAATAAAAATTTCTACATTTTCTCAATTATCTTGGCATCCAGTCTCTGATTTAAATAAAACAAATATTATTGTGATGCTTGACATATGACAGTTCCGATGGTTCAAAAATTATAAAATTCTGATCATTCAAAATTGAAATAATAGTTTTCGTAACATTCGTATTAGATTTGCATTATAATATCTTCTTTTTATCTAATAAGAGTATTGGTTAAAACATGTCACCTTTGTATAACTAAAATGTTACATAAGCTCTCATAGGGTTAGCAAAGGTAGGAACTATTCAATGAGACTTTATGTACAATCAAACCTTTATGTAATGATACAGCCGTTTTGAGAAAAAAATATAGGTATATCAAGTTATCGGTATATTAAGAAAATTTTATATACTAATTTGTTGATCAATATCAGTATAAAATAATAAGCCAATCAGATTTCAATAATAAATATCTTAAGAAAAATATCAATTTGAAAGCAATATTAAAAACGAAATCAATTATTAATTTTAAAATATTATTATATTATATTATCTACAATTTTATTCTCTTTCTAATGAATATTTAAATATAGCAATTGAATAAAATTTGAGTTAGTTTAATTAGAGACAAAAGTGCTTTTGAATTTTATGAAATACGCACAAAAAAATACTTATATTTTACCACCACGTTCCTGACCACCACTCCTACAGACCTTGCTTTATTATATAGTTTTTTTCTTTTGTTTTGCACACACGTTTTTTTGTTTTGATTTCAAAAACGTCATAAACATGTGATCGCATACAAACATCACTTAAGTTCATGATTATATTCGCGTTCACATTCGTGATCGTGATCGTGGTTGCATAATATATAAATATACAAATATTATTATTATTTTTTATTCTTATCATTATTATTTATTATTAATATTATTATTTTTATTTCTTTAATAAAAGTTTTTTTTTTGCATATGTTAAAACAACTCTTTTCTTTGTTGAATTTCTTTTTATTTGTAGTTAAGACATGATTCTAATACAAATAAAAATATATTATGTTATGTTAAGTATAGATTTATACTGGTATAACCTGAAATATCAGTAAATCTTTCTATATATTAATTATAAAGGGACAAAGAAAAATATCGGTATATGTTACATTGTGAAATCATATGTAATATCGATATATAAAAATTTTTTAATTAATAATAAAATGGTACATAAAAAATTTATCGATACATGTAATTATCGATATATATAATATCATTATATATAGTATTAACTAAAGATGGTACAGCAATTGATTTCAAATTTACAAAATGTTGCAACATAAGCTAAAATTAGTTGTAACATATATATGTTAAAACTAATTGCAATGTAAGTTGCAACATTAAAAGTTACAACATATTAATTACAGTTCCCATCTTTAGTTATTACTAAGTTTTCTTAGTAAAACTGAAGCCGCAATAGTGGTTATTACTAAGTTTTCTTAGTAAAACTGAAATTGCAGAGTTATTTTACTAAGCTTGGATTCTATAGTAGATCTGATATAAATGAGTTTCATATTAACTATTTTTATATAAGGATAATTCTATATAACACAAATGGATATTATAAAACTGATAATTATTACAAATGATTAAATTTTGATCCTTGAAATCTTTAGTAATACTAATGTTTACTTTATTTGATTTTGTTGCAGCATATCTTATATTATACTAATTTTATATTTATTATTATAATCAATAATAGGTTTAAATACATTTTACAATTTTAAATACTTTGAAAAAGATTTTTAAATTATATTTAAAACCTATCTAAAATCATCTAAACCAAAATTATTCTATTAATAATAATTTATTAAATAATTATATATTTAAAAGTATATTTAAAATAACATAATAACTTAAATTTTTAATTTATAATATAGATTATATTAAAATATATTTTTTTTGAATGTATAAATAAATACTTTGCAATAAAAAAAGTTTAAATTCTAAAAAAAAAATTTTTTTGAATTAATATTAAACTGAACTTATTTTATTAAAAAAATCATATTTAACATATAAAATAAATTTTTTTTAATTTATTGTAAGTTTATATTTTATTACAAAATACTCATTAAAAATATATATATATATATATTTTTTTAATGAAAAAATTCAAAAAAAAAAATTTGCTAAAGTAAGAAATCCTTTAAAAATAAAAGAATGATTATAAATAAAAAATTTTACTATATAATATTTATTTTAATTTTTATAATTTTCCTATTTTTATTACTAAGGAAAAAAAGTATTATTCATAAAAACCTTATAAAATTTTTTTTAAAATATAATATAATATTATACTATATTGAAAATATTATTTATTCTTTAACTGAAATTATCCAAATAGTAATTATTAGAAATTTATATTTATTTACAACTAAACTCATTTGAATAGCATTTTACAGAAAAAGAAATTTAAATTCTTAATCAGATATATTTATATAAGTACTATTCTTATAATCAAACTAATTGTTCATTTGCGCATAGATTCGCCTTTAATCACAAATTCCAATACCGAATGACAAAATTATCAACTATTTACTAATAATAATATATTTTTTTTCCTTTTTTTAGAATATAAGTATGATGTAATAATAAAATATAGTAGGAAGAAATATTTCAGTGATAATAATAAAAAGCCTAAATATATTTACTAAATCGTGCAATTACTTAGTTATCATTTACTATTCTTCTGAACTACAAAATTTCTCTTATTTTCACTTGTTTACATAATAAAATATCTTTGGATTTATTTTAAAAATAAATAAAATTCAAAAACCACCAAAAAAAAAAAAAAAAAAAAATTTCTTACCTACTACTTAATTTCCAAATAATTAGCAGGAAAATTTCCTTCTTTTCCATTACAACTCCCAAACCACCAATCATTAATGCTATCAGTTTTTCTTTTAATAACAATTATATCACCCTTATTAAAACTAAGATCATCGTCTTGTTCACCTTGAAAATCGAAAGCAGCAACAGCAGTTTCTATATTTTTACGGGGTAGAATCGGAGGTTTTGGAGCCAAAGGAGGTTTACCAGAAGTCGAATTAAAAGTTGCTCTTTGAGTAACATTTGATGATTTTCGAGATTCATCGTGACCTTTTTTTTTAAAAGGGTTATTTGAACTATTATCTCCATTAACAGAAGAATAAGGAGGGGGGGGAGTACTAAATCGATTCGAATTAACCGAAGTATTTTTGTTGATATTACGGGATACAGACTTTGTTGAATGAGGAGAATGAGGTTCATCATTATCATCATCACGTTTATTAAAAGAAGAACCTTTTGTCATTGAATTTAAAGCTCTATATAACACGTCAGCTTGCGGTGGAGGAGAAATTTGACCGGAGAGTAATTCTTTTGCATTAACCTTACGTTGATAAAATTTTTCATTAGCGTCTTTTCTTTCGACAACGATACTACCTTCAATTGATACACCAGCAAATAAACCTTTTGATTTACTATAAGAGAATATGGCAGCAGCATGACCAAGTGATACTGATCCAGCACCTTCGGCCGTACGACCGATAGGACCTGCTGCCACAGATAAATTCCCTCCTAATGTGACGTTACCACCCTTCGTAAAAGTTTTTACCGCTTCCCTACTATTCAACACTATAACGAAATCTGTCATTTCGGCACCTATTTGACCTCCAAATCCCATACCTCCTGTTCCTATCGCTGAAGGTGCGCTCCATGATCCATCTTCTAATTTTGATATGACCAAACCCGAACCCGCTCTACCTGAGAATAAAAAGCCTGCTTTGATGACCGTAAAGATCGCAAAACCTTTGGCTTTTTGCAATACAGATTGCGGAATAACTTTGTCAGGTCCTTTTGCTTCAATAGGATCGATAAAACTGTTCAAAATTTTAGCTGCTTTTTTACATTCGGCTGCGAGATCTTTCGGTATGGGTGAATTGACCATAGTTGAGTACTTTTAAAAAAAGAAGTTTTTCAAATTTGACCATGACATCAAACTTATCATATGTCCATAACAAATATGTACCATAGATTATTTTTGTAATTGGCTGAAATTAAGAATTCTTCTAGAAATGAATGATATACCGATATGGTATGTGTTAAATGGGAGCTTGTTTAACGTAACACCCCTAGTAAAGTATTTTTTCTATCATCATAAATACCTAAATTTAAATGTATCTAGACCAAAATAATTATCATCACTCATTGTTCGGCAAATTTCATTCCGGTTTTGAAATGTGGGTTATTTTTAAAATCAACCAACAAAAAAAATTACCTTCCATAGCTTACAAATGTAAGTGGCATGCAAGCACGATGATAAAAGTCGTGTGAAATTAATTAATTATGAAACTTGTCATTTTTTTTTTAAAACAAAAAAAATAAAAAAAAAAGGGCCTAAAATAGTCCAAATGGATTTGATTGTGGTTTTTTTTTTCGTGAAACTTTAGTTTTGATTGATATCATACATATATAAAATAGGGCATTTGTAATTTAATTTATAAAAGAAATTTGTCTGTTGAAATTTCCAAAAAAATTAATAAAAAAAAAAAACAAAAAAAAAAGAAGTTATGCAGGAAATAAGTCGAACATTATCATATATGAATAATACTAATGACTCAACTATTAACATCCCTCCGTCAATTGACGTGAGTTCCAAACTACAAAAAAATAAATCTTCCAATAATTTAATCGCAAATTTTATTCCGCGAGCAATTTTTTTATTTAGTGTTGCGTTTATATCATTATACATTATAATATACTTAGTTCAAAGCATACCAAATTTATCTCTGCCTACATCCATAGAAGGTGTAAAGCTCCAAGCTATGATATTAGACCATTATTCAAGTGAAACTTGGCAAGGTTACTTACATATTGTCATTGTGTTTTCTTTAATTTACATTTGGAAACAAGCCTTTTCCATCCCAGGAGCCATCTTCCTTGTAAATATTATGATTTTCTTTCGCTTTTGATTTTTTTGTTTTGGAAGAAAAAGTTGAACTAAATTGAAATATTCTTCCTTTCTCCTTTTTATCAAATTTTTTTTTAAAAAAAATAAAGAATATATTAGCAGGTGCTTTATACGGACCATTGCTAGCTACCTTGATGACTTCTTCATTGGCAGCCATAGGAGCTTCTTGCGCATACCTGATAAGTAAATTTCTTGGTCAGCCTATAATGGATCAATATTTATCCGACAAATTGAATTATCTAAGGAAGCAAGTCAATGATAATAGGGATGGTTTATTTTTTTATTTGTTATTCATAAGAATGTTTCCTTTATCTCCATGGTGGTAAGTAATTGTAATTATAAATTAGATTCGTTTTATTTTATTTTTATTTTTAAAAAAAAGAATACTAAAAACTGTTTGTCATCATGAAAACAGGCTGCTTAATTTGGCATCACCGTTATTATATATACCGCTCGGAACATTTTTTACATCAATGTTTTTTGGTTCCATATCATATAATTTGGCTTGCTGTCAAGCTGGTGAAATTTTATCGGAATTGTCTTCAACTAATGAAATTTGGCAACCTTTACTTCTCTTTAAAATGATTTTGGTTTCTTTAATAAGTTTATTTCCTCCTTTATATACAAGAAGGTATAAAAGATTACAAAACAATGTTAAATCCACAAACGATCCTTCTACTGAATTTTTGATCCTTAAAACCGAACAAGATGTTGTTTAGTTATTTTTAAAAAGGGCGGCCTTTATTTTTTATAAAAAAAAAATTAATTAATAACATTAGATTTGTAATTGTATAATAGAATAAATTTTTCGGATTTTTTTTTTTTTTTATTGTAGTTATATTATAACGTTTATGAAATATAATTTTTTAATAAATACTTTTCGACAACGTGCTCACATCAAATTTTTTTTTTGAAGTACCTTATGATTATGTAAATTGCCAGTAATCTAATCTCTTAATTAGTACCGAAAAAACGAAAAAACGAAATTCTTGATACCCGAGCAAACAATCATGAGCGATCTTTGACACGCGTTCTTTTTTAACACGGGACAATCTTTTACTCAACGAAAATTTCTAACCAAATCTGTCCTTTTAATTTATAAATTACCGATTCCTGAAGTAAATATGGAAAGATCAAAGGAGATTGATATTCCAACAATATGAATTTAAAAAAGGAGAAAATTTTGTAGTTGATATATTAGATGAAAAAGGATTTGTTACAAAGTAATTTTACGTGTTTGAAATTAACATAAAAGGTGAAATGAAAACAAGAAAAGGTATAAAAATGATATAACTTTTTTTTTTGTCCAACTTTATTATTTTTCAAGTAATTATTATTTTTTTTTTTTCCTTTCCAAAAAAAAATATTTTTTAAGTGAAAATTAACGCAAAATGCGATGGAATCCCTTCAACAAACCATCATTTCCTTCTTTCATCTTGATTCTCATATCATTATTTGTACAAATCATTGTCGCGCGAGCAGATTTAAATTTCACCGAATCAAATAATCCAACAAATGCTTCAATCTCAAGCGCTCCAATTTCAACTCCAACTACAACTTTAAGCAAACCGCCAATTACGACACAGATATATAAGTATGGCTTAGAGGGATCATCACTTCAAGAACATCCGGCAACATTATCGGATGGAACTTTGGTATTCTTGGTGAAAGTTCCGAAGCTTTGCTCAATCACCTTACAAATCTTATACGCCGATGGTTCGACTGGCATATTTGACAAACTTCCACAAGATCCTGATTTATTTTGCGATATAAGTTATGCATTTACACTTAGAGTTTACCCGATCGGTCATAATTTGGTTTTGGTCACGTATATTTTACAAGTCCAATCATCATATCAACATCAGGGAATAATTATTGATGTGATGGAAAGAATACCTTTGTATAACACAATATTATACGAATATCCAATGATTCCGGAATATTCCACGGTTTCTAATGCTTCCTCATTAACATTTTTCAGTCCGAATATTGACTCTGAAGACGGATTTTTAATGGCGTATTTTCATTCTACTAATGCACAATTGGTATGGTGGAAGTGGAAAAACAATAAACTTATGAAGGTTTACGATAAATCAGTAGAACTTCCGGAAATAAATGATTCGTTAAAGACACCAGGAAAAGGGACAAGTGTATTTCCAACAAAAACCGGTGGTTTTGGGATCGGTTATACAACTTGGAATAATAACACTAAAAATGATCCATTATTTGTAACGGGTCAAGTTTTTTTAAAATTCTTGGGTGTCGACCATGAACTTAAAGGGCCTTTTTTAATTTATCAAACTTCTTTAAATACAACCTTGGGTTTAAATTCATGTAGCGTGTCATATGATAAAAATGCCGGTTATCAATGTATGTTGGAACTTGACTTATCGGATAAAAATTCCTCTTTAATACGTACTTTGAAAATAGACTTTTGGACGACAGGATCGGTGATTAAGGTGACAAATTTGGGTGAAGATAAAATAAAAGACGGAGTTATACTTGGCGGTCAACCTTTAATGACCGGAGGATTTCTTATAACGACGATTAATGATGGCGTTAATGGATACATAGTTAATAATACCGGTGTTATCGTTGATGATTGGGGTTTACCTAATGACATTTTGTTTATTTCCGGCGTTTTCCCGAATAATACTGCGTGGGCTTTATCTAGTAACACGAGTGATTCTTCTAATTTCGGTATCTTTTCGTCGAAATTGAAAGTTCTTAACGAACGTAAGTTTAAAAATATTAATAGAAAATAATCGCGATTTTTTTTTTTTTTTGTTTTTATCGTTGCTAACAACTTTCTTTTTCTTTTTATTCATTCTATCTTACTTAAAATAAAAGCGAGTGATTATGACAACATCTTTATTACGGGAACTTCCCCAGAAATTAATGCTACCCTGATAATTAACGATGATTATGAACTTCAGTCCGAGATTACTATGGAATTCAGCAAACCGATTAAATTTTCCGAAGAATCTCTTTCAATTTACCAAAATATTAATAATACGTATTTGCTTCGTCAAAAAATTCTAGCGACAGATCCTTATTTAACATTAGATAAAAAAAGTAAAATTCTTAATTTGACAAATGCTATATATAATAGTACATTTAATGTTCCCGGAGGAAATTATAGCATTGAAATGGATTATAATTTTGTTAAAACTCTTTCGGAAGATGAGCCTCTTCTTGATATACGTAAAAATCGTTGGAGGTTCACATTAGCAAATGTCGATAATCCCAAATCATCAGGTAAAATTAATAATTACGAATTGTGATAATCATATACAGTATATTGGTTATATATTGTTTTTTTCTTTACTCTCCTTCTTTAGATCCTCGAATAGGTATATTGAAATTAAAAGTAGATTTCTCATTGAGTCAAACAAAAGGCTTGTTGAAAAAAGATAAAAGAAAAGAATTTCTACAAAATTTATTAAATGATATTTCATCCTTTATTCCATGTGATGCAAACAGAATAAAATTAATCAACTCAAACTTTATTGACCTTCGCAATAAAGGAGGTAAACAATTTGCATTTAAGATAAAAATTGATAAGCCGGTTTTTTATAATGAGAAGACAAGTTCACAAAAGATTTTTTCGGATTTGAAAGAAATGATTGATAATTTCAACAATACTGGTCTCGCCAATAGAGAATATGCCAAGTATTTAGATCAAAATGCCGGATTGGTTGAACAAGGTAAGTTTTATATTAAAATTTCTATAATGTACTTTTTTTTAGAAGTGTGGTTTTTAAAGGAAAAAAATTTTTTAGGTAGTATAATGGAAAGATATAAGGAAGTAATCATTATAGGCATCATTGTATTTATAATTTTAGTCATCTTGTACATCATTTCTGTAAGAAAGTTCAACCAGGTAAATAAAAAAAAAATAATCGAACATTTTGAATTCTCTGGTTACAAAATCACATAAATTTTATATCATATACAGGGACGAAATATAACAATCTTTAAGCATGCACTTATCGCTACGGATTTTATCTTGGATATATTGTTTGTTGTAAATAATGCTTCAGAAGTCCAGATTATTTTTATACCAAGGTTTGATTGAAAATTATCAGTATATATTCGTGAATACTGTATATACAGTATATTAATCAATCTCTTTTAAATTTTTCACAGTATAATATTCACGGTAATCCCTGCAACGGCAAATGTGATTATTTCAGTCTTTATAAATATCTATGAAATCTCTCATAATAAATCATTTCAAGATTGGATAAATAGATACGCAACGGTAACTGTATGGATAACTTTAATGTCAGTAGCTGATCTTAAAATTTTGACATTGCTTACGTCAAGAATTGCAGGATTGGATTGTTTTAATGCCCCATTCAAGAAAAAAACCATTTCTTGGATATTTTGGTTGAGTTTTGTTAATATATTTTTAGAAGATATACCGCATTTAATTATACAGGTAATTTAGAACGTCCTCATTATCCTCTTCATCAAAACTAAATATTTGTTTTAAAATAATTATTTTAGATTATATTTCGAGAGCATAGTATAGCTTATGATGTTATCCCAACGCTCACATTAGTAACAAGTCTGGTCGTTCTTCTAGCGGATAGCTTGTGGAGGTTCTATTATGCTTTAATGCATTTAATTGGGTATTATCGACATGAAGAACATTTTTGGGGACCTGGCACAGATTCGGATACTTCAGAAGAAAATTAATAATAGACATTCTATCGGTTCTGGTGATGTTGGTAATCATGGTATACCACCACCTAAAATTCTTCAAATCGAACAAAGGATATAATAGAAAAGACATTGATGCTTTGATCGATTTTTTTATTTTTATTTTTATTTTAATCATAGTTTCGCGTTTAAATTAAAAAGGTTGCAAAACCATTTAAGATCATTGAAAATAAACTTTTACCTAAGTGATTACAACAATTAAGTGTATTAATTCTTCATAAAAGAATTATTATTCTAGACCGAGTTCCTCCCTTTGTTTTTTCCTTAGATTTATTTTCCTCATAATCATTAACTGCTAAATTTCTATTTTGATTGAAATCATATAATTATATATTTAAAAGGTTTCGGGGAGAGATTTTTATCGTTAATAAAAACAAAATGGATTCCAGGATTTTATGATATCGGAATTTTGTTGAAAATGTTCAAGGAATAATATTCTTTGAACATGTAACAGCACATATTAATCTGTAGCAAGCTGCAATATTATCATAATAGCCAGCAACGTTATCATGGTTATCAAACAAGATTTTCTCTTTCGTACTGTTAAAATTAAATTGACATAAAGCTTTCAAATTATATAAGTCAAATAATTGAACTTTTCTACTAAGTTAAATTATCTTTTGTCACTTGCGGAAAATTTCAAATTCTCAAATTCATTCACATATGATATACTTTCGTCGTAAAATGAACGTGATTAGTGAATCTTCGCACAAAGATTTATGGTTTTCGAGATTTGAATTTCATATCAAATGAATTATTTGGGTCTTTATGATATTTTAATATGCCATTTTTTTACGATAGATTACTGGTTAAATTATTGGTTAGAGCACTTTATAAAGGTACAACCAGAATTACAAGTACAATACAACGAGTTCTTGTCGAAACAACTTAGAACGAACATCATACAACAAATATTTGGTGTATGATTAAATTTTGAAATAAAGATTTTGAATCAATAGATATGTTATGCTTGAAGAGTTTAATCGGGCTGGAACGCTTGAGTTCGTACTTGGAAAACACCTTCGCAATTTATGCGAATTATCTTAGCGTGTGTTCTATAAATTCCACATTGAAGATTTAAGCAATATCGGAATGTGCCTGATTTGCTGCGGCTGGTAAATACTAATATTGATGTATTCCCTTTTCTAAAAAAAACTCTTCATAGTAAAAATAACGTTTAAACTTTAATAAAAGGATATTTTAAGAGATCATTAAAAAAATATTATACATTGGTGTTGTAATGGTGTAAAGTCGTTAAAAAAAAAAGGATCGAATGTAATAAAATTTTGATTGTGCAATGAATCAGACTTATGGGTTGTGATGTATGATGATAAATTATAAAAATGTACTTATTTCATAAACTTTACCAAAAAAAAAAAAAAGTCTATTTAAAATTACATTTATAAACGTAAATTTGTATAATATTGAACCTCACTTCGTTCTCTTCTCAATCCCACTTTTCTTAACAATTTCTCATATTCTCATATCATTAATTAACAATGACAGGTCGTAAGCGTAATATTGATGATTCCGACATTTCTACCAAATCAAGATCAAAACTTCTAAAGACTACTAGATACGATAAATCAAAGATTTCGACTTCGACAATTAAAAATTCTCAAAAGAATGTCCAAATCCTCAACGTTAACCGTTCAGATTACCTTTCTTATGACGATGTAAAATTAATGAGGAGGAAAATCAATGAATTAGCTACCATGAACTGCGAGGATGAAAAATCTTTAATAGATACTATCGATATTACAGATATTACTTCCAATACAACAGAATATTTAAAAGATTTCAAAGAAAAATTTTCGGGTGTAATTTCAATTGTAACGTTACTTTGTACTATTAATAAATTATTTGAAGATATAGGATGGAAATTCTCTAATTTCAATGAATTAGATGGTGGTAAATGTGAATTAACCGATCTTATTACTAAAAAAACTTTTAGACTTAATGTAATATTTGATGAAGGTTATGAATCTGATATTATCAAACATAGAATGAGAAAGGAAAGCGAAGAACAAAAATATTTTTATGTCTATGATCATGGAGAAACAAAACTTTTGAAGAATAATAACGACAATATAAGTATGAACGTTAAAGGTAAGACCAACATGGATGGAGTGAAGATTATTAATGGATCTCACGATGATAATTCATGTGATGTTTTACAAACTTACTCTGCTGCAAGATCAAGAATCAAAAGAAATTTACCTGTTTCCCGAGGAATTGACATAATTCTTGACAAAGTCACTGATGAAATAAGAAATAGTGTTGTACATTTCGATAATCCTTTTTCTTTGCTTGAAGAGAAATCTCAGGAAAGTAACGACGGTTCGAATCAAGAACATTTAATGAGAGAATACGAAGAAATTGAAAAGAACAGTCATTACTTCGTCTTGATTGGAAAAGTTAACGACGATTCTGATGGCAACAAAAATAATGTTACTAAATCAAAGGATACTAATATGGAGAACTTGATTAATATAATTGATAAGTCTGCGACACATGCACAAGTTTCAACGAATGGCTAGAATACGATGACAGTTTTCTCTAATGACGATTATAGAACTTAAGGAAGAATGACAACCTTTCCATTATGATAAGATGGATTTAAACTTTTTGATAATGAGATTACTCAAGAAGATTTTCTCACTCATTAAAGCAACTCGCCATTAAGTCTATTCCTAGATAATTTTGATTGAGGACGTAAGAAAAAAAAGAATTGCTGAAGTATCAAATTTCGTTTTGGTTATATTTAATTGGATGCATCGAATAATTGAAAACTTTTAGTTAGTGTCGATATTAATATTATTTAGCTAATCTTGATTGTAATTCTTTTTTTTGCAAAAATAAAATCACATGATTACTATTTAATATCATAATTCTTTATCAGACCTATTAGGACTGTGGAATCTATTTGACCAACCCATAAATTTATCTTTATATTAGTAGCATATTATTGAACGTGGCTATAAACGATATACAATTATTATTTACCAAATAATTCTTTTACTTTTTGAGGCTTGTTCAATAAGATTAACTATAACAAGTATTTTGTGAGGCTTTAACATTAACATTTAAGATTTACGATTTTTTTTATTGTTTGTATAAACAAAAAGTAATTCAAGATCATAAACGAGAATGACCATTTAAGGATTAGATCTAGAGATTAACTTCCGTTCATTAAGATTTACGATTATTGATCATTTGTATAAAACAAGACTTCGTGGGTTGTTCATTATGATTTTTGTAATTTATTATAAACAAGATTATCCAATTCCGATAGACTTGTTTATTAAAATTGGGATTTGTTTCATCAAGTCATTACAAGAAAGCTTGAGTAGTATCTTGAGGTTTTTCAAAGGGATATACTAAAAGGGGAATCTCCCACAAAAGTCCTGTTTTCTCCGATCATAATTGTTTTTTAAATAAAAAGTACTGCTATAAATAAAATATGGCTTAGTTACATATTATAAATTAATTTAAATTATTGTTGTATTTACTGTTACATAAAAGGTTTATAGTACCATGCGGGTACGTATATTTTACGCAAATTAAATATGCTTGCTTTATACTTTATGTATTAAACTTGTTCAGTTTTAGAAATGATCAATCATTTGTTTTCGCGACTGTTCATGACAAAAATGTAACTTTTACAAGATAAATTTTAACTGTTAAATCATTTGGTATTAAAATTATTAAAATTAGAAAATACATTTCTGCTTCTACATATATAATCCTTCCCTTTTTTTTTTAAAAAAATATTTTTTTTTTTCAATTTTCAATATTTAATCTCTTAATATTAGTAAAAAAAAAAAAAAAAAGGGAAATATGAGCAATACAATAGATGAAAAGGTTCCCGAAATAATAATAGAACAGCGAAGCTTATCACCCTCCCTTGTCAAAAAAAAGTCATTTTTGGATGATAATGCTAGTGATGCTAGTAGTATTAGAGGAAAAGAAAGGTTCAAGGCTGTAACTAAGAAAGTTATTGCTGTCCAACGCCTTCTTTCAGGTATCATTCATTCTTGATAATTTAATTAAAAAGAAAGTTTCAAGAAACTATGTTTAATTGGTGAATTGATAAAAAAAAATTTAATTCTGATTACTTGTAGCGGACCAGATTTTTTCTGTCGGTCAGGACCCAGGAATTGACCCAAGAACTGTTGATTATGATCTTCATGTAAGATTATCATATTCTTAATTACTTGAAGCTTCAGTTTTACAATTCATCGTACCTAATTACCACTTGTTATCAATATTACAGACCAAGTGTGATATTTTTTGTTCAGATTTTAGCGAAGAATGTGCATTTAATGTCGAAAGATTATCAAACGAATCATTAGAAGCTTTCCTTCAAAAACCACGTCCTTCAGAAAGTAAAGTACGATGGATTAATGTCGATGGAATTTCTTGGGATGTTATTAAAACTCTTGCCATCCATTATGGTATGTTACAAAAAGGATATAAACCAATCATCAAATGTGAAAGGAAACTGACCAAATTTTTTTATCTATTTTAGACTTGCACCCGTTAGCTATTGAAGATACTTTACAGAGTTCTCAACGTAGGCTTCTACAAAACTACCACGATCTTTTATTGTTTGATAACTAAATTGTATAATTTATCGGTTTGTTAATTCACTTATTTCAGGAACGAAATTGGATCAATATAAAGATCATATTTATATCTCGCTACTACTTCATACTCTAGTCAATTCAGAAAAAGAGCTTCAAGTAGATAATGATGATATTTCGTCTAATGGAAGAATGAACTCTCGCCAGGATTTGTTACATCATGGTCATCGTGAAGATAGCAAATATTTGGAGGCTCATAGAATCTTTAGGAGGCAAAAATTATATGTTGCTGTTGAAACAGTTAACATCTTCTTATTAACCAATGGTAAGTTATAATAGCATAGTATACCTTTTTGTTATATGATTTTTCACTAATTTAAAACATTTATATCTGGGAATCATAAGATATTCTTCTTACCATATTCCAATATAATGGAAAACAAGTTTATAAGCCCATCCTTTCACGTATTCATCAACCCAAGACGTTATTAAGAACTGTACAAGATTCGAGTTTATTAATGGAAGCTGTTATTGATGCTATCGTAGATTTGTAAGCATCAAATATAATGTAAAAACTTTAATAACTTTTCATTTATTTGAATTCATTTTATATTTATATAGGGCTATTCCAATTAAGGATTCTTATCGACATCAGATAGCTGAATTGGAAGGAAGGTTACTGATTCGACCAAAGATGTATCACACACATGGTGAGTTTTTCGGTTAATCAGGAGTTTCATTTTTACGTTTTTTTTTTAACTAGTTATTTTATTTTCAGAACTTCATATGATTTCTGGAGAATTGACTATTCTTAAAAGGACTTTGGGACCTATCCAGGGTTTGGTTAGCTTGTTAAGAAAACACAATGATGAATTCAATGATGATAAAAAGCTCATTTCTTCCATAGCCAAAACTTATTTTATGGACGTGGCGGTGAGTTTTTAAACATGTTGTTTTTATTAGTATTTTAATTTGATAAGATCTAATATCATCTTTGGATGGATAGGATCATTGCGCAGAAATTGTAGATGACCTAGACACTATGACTAAAATAACGGAGAGTTTAGTTAATATGGTTCGTATTTATTGATTTACTGGTTGTGATACGTTTTTGCTGCATTTTGGTTACGAATGAAGTTAATAAAATTGTTTCGATTTAGGTTTTCAATATGATTTCTTATGAGGTATCGTGTTAGATATATTCTTTTTGGGAACTTTTATTATTTCTATTTTTCGAAGGTTCTAATTTTTTTTAAACAATTGTATAAAACCAGACAAATGAAAACATGAGAATCATCGCAATGTTTAGTATCGTTTTCTTACCGATGACTTTCATAGCAGGATGTATGTAGTTGTCTTAAAATCAAAAGTTTGTGAACATTTTTTACAATAATCATCGTCCTAACCTTTATATAATAGATTACGGAATGAACTTTGATGAAAGCAGATTCCCTGATTTGTATAAACCAATAAGGTATGAATATTTTAATAATTGAATCTAAAATGATTTTCTCTTTTACAATGAATATTAATTAATTATTTCTTTTATAACATTAGTTACTTTTGGAAGGTCACTATACCTAGTACTCTTTTAATGTTTATTGCAGGAACTTATTCTATATGGACAAAATGGGTGTCCAGTTTCATTAGGTATCTATATAAGAGGAAAGCAATGAAACAAGATGAAGCCGCGAAAGCCCAACGATCCGGATCGTAATGCGTATATATATACAGTATATATATTATTTATTTAGAATGATGATGTATATTATAGTGTTATAATAATGCGTTATTGGATCACGATAAACTGTAAATGGTGGGATTATATTGTTAAAATTTAAAATTAAAATTCAAATTCAAAATCCAAAATTTATATTTCATTATATAGATGATTTATTTAATAATAATAAAAATAAAAAAGGAATTTTTTCATGAATCTTTTTTAATAGCTATTACATCACCTGATTGGAGGATCGCCGAAGATACTGCCTAAATCAGCGTTTATTACTCCTTTAGGAAATAGATTTGTAAACAATGGAATAAACAATTATTAAAACAAGTTATCTTTTTCATGAATTCGATTTTAGTAAAATCAAATTTATTTAGATCGATGAATTTAACTAGTGAAAATAATTAAATCGACAAATAGTCAAGTCCCCACAAAATGAAGTCGTTAGCGACCGCTTCTTGGAGTGGATCCAATCTTTAGTTCATTTTTCGCGTCTATGGCGTCACCCAAAGATCGAGACGGAAAATCATGAAATCGGGATGCAACGCGACGGAAGGAAGCCTTGATTCACTTATAATCTAGCTGGAAGGCTATCTCATGGAGAATTTTTTAAAAAGATTTAGATCTTGGTTTGGAACAAACTCAAATCGATTTAACCATTATGAAGATATTGTATTTACGAGAATCGAAAGTCATTTTACTAATAAATAGAAAAATTATTGGAATAATTACGTCCATGGCTCTGGAGGTACGAGATTCAGCAAGAAAGCCGATATATTTACTTTTGGTTTATTAATGTATTACTAGAACAAGAGACCATTCTTTCATTCTTCAGAATCATAACCAAGATGCATACATTAAGGGATGCGACCGACTTTCAATAGAGAATTAATACCTTTATGTTTTTGACGTTTTAATGAGACATTTGTTGAAAGAAGTCGTCTTAAACCGAAAAAAAAAACTTATTGAAATTGAAAGATTTGATGAATATAAAGGAGCAATAAATAAACGAAGTTCTCATTTTAAATGGTATAAAGCATTAGCTATACCTTCACCTAATAAATCTTATCATTTTGCCGTTTATACATGTGACATGACATGAAAAAAGAAACAGACCATTATAAAACAGTCAGAAAGAGTCGACCAAAAAAAAAAAATATTTTTTTTTTCATTTTGATCAACTTTGCATTTTTGTGTATAATAATAAATATTTTTCTATGACAAAAGGAACCAATACATTCAAAAATAGTAAATAAAGAAAGTAAATTTTTTCTGGAACTTAAACAGAATGATCTTTATTCTTTATCTCGATAACTCAATTCTTATATTGAAAATAAGCAAGTTGGTAAAGAGTTCATTACATTCGCAAATATTATTGTATCATTGCTAAATTGAATTGCTTATTATTGATTATGTATGTTCCATATAGAAAAGTGTATGTTATGTAATTTGAAAAGATAAAACTTCTTCATTCAGCCCACCTCCCTTCAAGTAAGAAAGACAAATTATCCACATGTAATCCTTCCCAAACTTAAAAGTTTATGAACAAATTATTTAATTTTGGAATGTAAATTTTTTACAAAGAACTTAACCACTAATTGAGATCAATGATTTAAAACAGTTCACAATTAATAATTAAATCTCTTACATTAGATTATTATAGTATATGTATGCCAGCTATTTACATCTAAGTAATAAAAAATAATTACACTTTCTTTCTCTTGGTAAATTCTCCAATCAGCACATGCAAATGTCATGCAATTCACATCACAAAAATGTCAACTCAACCTTCCTTTCGCCATCACTTTCTATTATCATCATGTATTCTTCGTCATCATTTGAATCTTGAATGTCTACTTCTGTAGCGTCATCGCTAATTTCCTCATTATCATTATAGCAATAACCCATTTGCTTCTTTAACCATCCCTTTACTTTCAAAGTACTTCGTTCCATTGTGGATTGGTCAGGTTCTAAATCAATTGAACCCTTTTCATATTCGAACGTAATGGAAATGATCCTCGATGATAAAATATCGTTTTTTACTAGCTGATAAGGTTCACGCAATCTAACAATTATGACTCTACTATTCATCTCGATCAAATGCAAAACATCTCCCATTTCTCTATCCAAAGCATTTTTCTATGAATATATTAAGAATTTTTTTTTGATTAAATTTCTCTCAATGATTAAACGATCGGTCTTTTTTTTTTTTTTTTTTTATGATATGCTTACCAAGATACCATTATAAACCAAAGCTCTAAAATATGCATGAAAGTATACCGTGGTAACGTCGTTCAACTTCAAATAATTTCCTTTAGACTGAAAGATATTAATAACCTTACATTTTGTATAATATTCTTCCAATTTATCAACACATTCTGCTTGTTTCGCTCCGCGTATTGAACAATATAGTGTAAAAGGTGGCTGCGATTTTTGAATATAATTTGTATAAAAGTTTGGAGTATTCGGCATAACAGATATGAACGATAGTAAATGTTATTTATTATATGTATATAGTAACATAAAAGACAAAAGTGAGTGAGATAACTGATAATATGATTGTTATTTTTTTTTTTTTTTATAAAAAAAAAAGAGAAAAAAAAGTTGTTTATTAAAAGTTTTTTTTTTTTAGTTTTTTATATTTAGTAATTTAATGTAATGACTATGTAATGCAATTTATTAATAATAAACTTTTGCATACGTGTGATTCGTATGTAATAACGTTGTAACCAACTATTAAATTGCTTGCGCAGTAAAGTGGAAAATTTTTTTTCTTGTTCTCTTTTTTCTTTTTTTTTCAACGTTACTAAAATTGCCAAAATAATTTACATAATAGGTATTACTTCAAAGCCGAGTTTCAAAATAAAAATAAAATAAAATAGTTATTTTGACGTAGTGCATACGCCAGACAGTCTACCATCACTCTAATATATCATCATCCCAATCATTCGTATGCTTGATTAACGGGTTTTATCACAGCCTCACTTAGTTTGTTCATTTTTCTTTTTGCTTCACCAAATTGGCTTTTTTGAAGTCGTATTTTAAGTTGGACATATTAATATTATATTTTGTCTTGATTATCTCTGCTTTATTTTCCTGTTTTAATTTCCGCGCTGATAGGCTAAATATGATCATCCATTCCAAGAAGCCTAGAGATTTATAACGTAATCTCCTAATTAATAAAGTGTAACCAAAACAGTAAGGGAGTGCGAATTTATTTAGGATAGCTTAGAAACCTTTCATTGAGTTAATTAAAATCTTATCATTAAAAGATATATTTTTATATCTCTCGTTTATTACACTTTTACACAATTGTGGACATATATATATATATATATACATTGTTTACATTGTTCTTTACGGTCTGCTCTGTGCGAATTCCTTATTAAAAAAAAAGGTGTGGATCAGAATATGACAAACAAGTTTACAAATTAAAGATTAAACGAGAAAAATTAAATAAGAAAGATTTACCAGAAGCAACTTTAAACAAATGAAGCAATATTATAAGAAGGTTCGACCTTTTGAAATCTAAACATTCTAAAAGGAGAATCCGGTTCATAAAAGGTATCCTCCCATTCACAAAATTTCTTGTAAAGATTTTCGGCTTTTGGACGATTCTTCCTATCACTATTCCAACAATTTCTCATCAAGCTTGCATAACCATGAGGCATTAACTCTTTATCAAATCCGGGACGAAATCCATTGAGAATGTCCCTTTCAAAATTACGATTATTACCTCTATAGCGCTTCGGTCGCGTATTAGTGGCCACCTGATACATGATTAATCCAAAGCTATAAATATCAGCTTTTTTAGTATATGTTTTACCTAATAATAATTCTGGGGCGATGAATGGAATCACTCTCCTTTGTGTTCTAGCGTTGGGTTCATCTACTCCACAATATCCAAAATCCCCTATATATCCTGTAGATCGAATATCCTTTGAAACGAATACATTTCTGGTATTAATGTCTCCATGAATTAATTCTGCATTATGTAAGTTGGATAGACCATGTGCTATGTCTTTAAGGATTCCTAATTTTTCTTTCCAAGTAATGGTTCTCCAATTGTCTTCTAAATAATTCTCAAGATTTCCGGCATTTATGTATTGCATAACGATACCAAATTGATTTTTTTCATTCCTTGTTGCTCCAAAAATATGAACAAGATTTTCAGAACTACATATTACATATACATATATATTATAATATATACATACAGTATTTTTTATATATATGTATAATATAATAATATAATATAATATAATATAATATATTAAAAAAAAAAAATTTAAAAAATTTTAATTTATCAAATCAATTGAAATTATTAAAGTTAAAAAAAAGATTTTCTTTATGACATAATTTTATTTACCCAGAAGCTCTAGTACAAGCTTCAATCATCTTGAAGATATTTACAAACTATTGAGCAAATAATTAATTAATTAATCTCGTGGATTTTCATTGGGTTCATTTTTTTGATAATTTTATAATATCATACCTCATCGAGAAATTCTTTATTCGTTTTGAAAAATTTAATAGCAACGACGCGTTCTCCTTCCCTATTGAATAACCTATCACATAAGCTAACGCTCCTCGCTGGACCATCTTTCCAAATAGCGGAATGGATGTTCCCGATTCCTCCACATGTAATGTATTGTAAATTATCAAATTTATTAAAATCAATCCATTCAAAAAAATCATTATCAGCGATAGATCTACGTTGTGATGATTTGATTATTTCATCAACCAAATTATTTCCACTCGTATTATTCTGATCATAATCACTTTCTAAAACTTTGGCAAAAGTTCTCATCAGATCTTTCATGTTGTAATCATAATTGAAGGACATATTTTTCTCCACTTTTTTTTTTTTTTTTTTCGTTTTGACAAGTTTTAAATTTTTTATCGGGGGAAAAAAGAAAAAATCAAAAGAATGCGAATGAATGCTTTATTGACATCCCTTAATAAGATTATCCAAAGATTTTTTTGTTTTATTTACTTTCCATTTAAGTAATCAATCTTTCTAAAAATGTATAAAAAAAAATGTATATGTTGTACACAATACAATTTAGAAATCGCGTGACTCGCAAGCCATTGAAATGTAGAATTTAAATTGTTACGTGAAAAAAAATAAAAATAAAAAATAAAAATAAAAAATAAAAATAATGATTCGGCCAAATATAATTGAAAAATCCAAATTTATATCTATCCATCTATATTTTCATCCTTCAAACTTATCATCCTAATCCGATAGGAAAGAATTTTACGCGATATGGATATGCTTGATTTGTAAACAAATTTCTCGCATGATTTCATAAATTTTTATGTTTTATAATTAATTAGCTCATCCTTATTACGTAAGCCGAATTAAGGTAATCCTGTTTTCTATTTGCCGTAAATAATGGACCGAAAATGGTAAGATGTAATGCGCTTCACAACTTTTATTAATCATACAAGAGAAATTTACATACAATTCGTGTAATAAAAACAGGAATCAAATAACTTGACTGTGAAAAGTTTCGGTGATCTTTACACTTATCTATCTTTTACATGGTTCTTGAATACTTTTTTAATCAGATTCATGTCAAATCTTACACTTTGTAAGACGCATATATATATATATATCAATTTGACATGTATCAATTTTTTTTTTTGAACAATACTTGATTGAGTACTACCATAGATTTTCTCATAAGTGAATGAATTTTTTTTTTACATACAAGCTTAAAATGGCAATACACAATTTATTGATTGTCAATCAACTTTCACGTGAACTGGATGGTGTCATCTGTCGGTCAGTTTTTTTTTAAAGTTGGCAGATCTTTTTTTTTATTTTTTTCATAATCGATATGAAAAAATCTCGTGATTTGATAAAATTTATCCTATCGGTAAAAAAAAAAAAAAAGAAAAGAAAAGGATCAATAACAAGCTGACTTTAGGTAGATAAGAATTCCGCGATACGTTTAATCTTGCCATGTTATGATAAAGGTACAATGGTGTTACGACTCGAGTGAAACATATCATTGGTCGGTGTAATTGATATGAAATTATATAAATATCACATCTCAAAAATTAATGGCAAAAATATTAATGGCAAAAATGTTCGATGGTTTAACTAATACTTCAAACGCTTTGGTGTTACCCTTTATATTACACAACCCTCAACGCATTACAAACCTTTATCAATCGATAGCATTCCGTCCTCAAATCCTCCTTCAAATAAATTGAAAGTAAGTAGCTACCTTTTATTTTATCAATATAATTATGTGATTCATTTTGATTTTCACAGATAAGTAAAACCATCATGGTAGTATTACGGCATTTATTTTTTTTTAATCTGATTGTCGGATTTTATCATTTTATCGTGTGTTTTCCTCCGAACTTCGAGCCCAAATCCTCTCAGAGCGCTCATTGATATATGGGGCCTTTGCAATAGAAAGGGGGAAAACTTCCGGAAAAATAAAAATTGAGTTAATGCTAAATTTGAACATATTTCGGCCTGAAAATCATATTTGGTATATAAAAGTAAAATTGATTTTTCCCGGCAGTTTCCCCCTTTCTATTACAAAGGTCCCATATGTCGATATAACAATGTTGAAAATTTTGTGATAATTCTGCTCGAGTATGAATGTGTCATTAGAATATATTTCATTTACAAAGATTCAGGTTATTGTAATTATATCTAATCTTATTTGCTGCTTACTCTGAATAAATACCATATAGGTATTACTCTGCATCCAAAGTGTTTAAGGGCTCTTGACAGCTTCAAGCGTGGTTCTGAGACCTAATTCTAAAATGCATAAAAAGCTAGCGATTCTTATTTATGATAATGTTAGTCGCATTGATCCCAAAATACTTGACATTATCCAAGTCGATGCCAAGGATAGTGAAAGTATATTGTCGTATTTGTGACCAATGAGGGGATTATGCCTATGAGGAAAGTATGGGAATCATTATGTCTTATCATAAACTGATTTTTTTATCTGTCCTTTCCTTCAGGGTGGACTCATGGACTCAAACAATGCCAATCTTTGAAATCTCGGACTTTAAAATAGATAAACAATCGGCTACGTATCTAGTAAATAAACTTGGAACTCCCTTAGAAGAAACGAAAATTTATGAACTCATTTCATTAGTGGTCGAATTATAAATATACTTTATAAAGGCAGCTAATTTATCCAAGTCCTTTGATGGTTAGTATCTATAGTGTCTCTGCTCATCTTGCTTATATGATGCACATGTGATTTTTTTCATTTATCAAAAATAAAAAATATATATAATGGAAGGAATGAAATAGCAGGTATATAACCAGCGCGACATTTCGAAGTAATTAATCCAGGTTTTACTCAACTATGGCCAAAATAGATTAATTGATTCGGATGTGGACGAATCTGTTAGTTGCAAAAATATACTCGTTTCATCCTAAAAATAATATTATCAAATTAGGTTCAAAAGTTTATTGAATGTTTTACTCGTGAGATTTTAGAAAAGTAATATAAATTACTTGACCGGCCGATACCGTGTCTACCGTGTCTCAATTTGAAGCGTAATAAATTTTAATAATTTACAATTATTATTTTAATTAAAGTTTGATATTCTAAATTAATAAGTAATAACCTAACCCTAACCTAATCCTAACCCTAACCCTGATATAACCCTAATCTAGACTAAATTAATATTTATTTATAAATTGTAATACAATTATTTTCTTTAAAATCCTAAAAACATGTTAGAAAGAAAAAAACAATCCATTATAATGATAGAATAGCAGTGATATGGATTTTAAGCAACTAAAAAAAATTTTTTTTATTGTGTTAAAATTTCAGACATGCAATTTATAAGATTTTTTTTTAAAAAAAATTTAAATTTTAAAGTAAGTTTAATTTAAAAAAAACGAAAATATATAAAAAAAAAAAAAATTAGAAAAGACAATTTTGTTAAAATCTTTGAATAACTTTAAAATATTATATATTATTTAAATAAATTTATTTTTATTTTATAATTAAAAGTGATTCAAAAATAAACATATAAACATATTAAAAGAATAATTAGAAATGGATTTTTATTGAAAAGATTGAAAAATGATAGAATAAGTAATTTAAAAAGGTTATATTAATTTGAAACCAAACAAAATATATATCAATATGTAATTTTTAAAGGTGAATTAATAGATTACTTAATATTAAATTAAAAATTTAAGAATGCTATTTTTATTAAATAAATAAAAGATAAAATTAACTTATTATGATTATAGCTGATTTTATAATTTCTGAATCAAAGCTAAAATTTTCAGTCACAGTTAGTCACAATCTATAAATAAACTATATAAGCTAAAGATGATACAGCAATTAATTCAAATTTACAAATTGTTACAATATAAATTAAAATTAGTTGCAACATATATTATAATATTATAAGTTGCAACATTTATAAATTAAAACTAATTACAATGTAATGTATATTGTAATTTTCAAAGTTACAATATATTAATTACAGTTTTCATCTTTAATATAGGCTATATATTGTATATATTTTATATTACCTATTTTTGATTTTATTTTTACTCAGTATACTCAGTATCAAAGCAAAAAATTAGGTTATTATCTAAACCCTATAAATAATATGTATAAGGAAAGTATATAGAAATAATATGTTTAAAAAACGTATAATAAACGTAGAAAAACAATATAATAAATTCATAAATATTTCCATATACTAGATACTGAAATCATCTTTTTCCATATGTAAAAAAGTACTGAATTTATATGTCTAATCAGTATATTGTATATATTATTTTTGGTTGGATTGTTACGTCTAATCAGTATATTGTATACGTTATTTTTGATTGTATTTTTACGTTTAATTAGTATATTGTATACGTTATTTTTGGTTGAATTTTTTACGTCTAATCAGTATTGTTACCTAACTAATGATTAGGCAGACTGAAATACGTAATCAATTGAGTAGCAGCAAGATTTAGCTCAATCTTTGTTAAGTTTTAGGTGAGATTTTGGTTGATTCAGGCTATTGTTGACTTCAGTATTTTTTCACGACTAAGTTTTAGAATTGGCAAGTATAATGACTTCTAATTCACCACGTAAGACAAGTAATTTCTTTAGCATAGAAAATTCTCAGTTGACATTATAAAGTTCTATTTGTAACCAAGTTAATAACGTTCAAGTAATTTAAAGATTACTTAAACCTAGATGACATAAAACAGGGTTGATAATGTTAAATAATTTACAATTACTTAACTAGGGTTTTCACAAGTGAGTTGATAACGTTAAGTATTCCAAAAATACTTAACTAAGGTTGACACAAAGCAATTTATTACGAGACAATTTGGCAAAGAGTTTTTATTATCTTATAAAATTGACTTTCTAAATTTCTGTCGATATATGATGAAAAACTCAGCTTATTTATAATGAAATTTCTATACTAAATTGCTATTTTTTGCATAAAATCTATGTAATGATTTCCTCATTTTTTCTATGTAATATTATTGTAATAATTGAGTAATGACTACCTAATCGCTATGCAATAGTCTTTTAACTATAATATATATATATGTGAAGAGATATAGAGAATATAATTATATTGTTCTTAAATTATTACTACATCATTATACTTAGCCTTTGACTAGTTTTTCCTTGAAGTTCCTATTTGGAGTTTCTAGTTTAGAAAGTTACGCGTATCGTCATAGGCTAATGATCTATTACTTCATTTCTTCATTAACCGATTTGATTAATTTCGCAGATCACCTTTATCGATTATTGTGTCATTGATTCTTGCATATCAATTCACATGATGATCATTTGTAGGTCACTTTACTGCGTTACATTTTCAATTCTTGAAGATCATTTGGATTACAGTATATTGCATATGTTATTTTTGGTTGAATTTTAACATATAAACATTAAATTATATATGTAATTTTGATTGCAATTTTTATATATTTAATCATTAAATAAATATAATTTTTGAAATTAAAAAATTTTTATTAAAAAAAAATAAAATAAAAATAAAAAATGAAATTTCATTTATTCTATATAAATTAATTAATTATAATATTAAATAAGAGTTTTACAATTTAAAATTTAAATTTAAATATAAAATATAAAATATTTACCTAATTCTTCTAAATCAGAACAATAAATCTTCTAAATTCTTGATTTTCCTAAATTATTATTATATTATATTATATTATATTATATATATTATTTTATAATGATAATATAATATTAAAAATAAATATAAAAATTACTTTTTTTTGAAACATTAGTGGCAGCTTTGATAACGGCAACTTTGGGGATGCAGCAACTTTTTTGCAGCAATATTAGTGGTAGTAGTGAAAGCAGCAATAACTTTGGGAGCAGCAGCAATTTTGAAAGCAGCAATAACTTTAGAAACAGTGGCAACTTTGGAGATAGCAGCAACATTAGTGATGGTGGTGTCATCGTCATCTTTTATAATAATTAGAAAAATAAGTTAAAATAAGAAAAGAAATAACAATAAATTAAATTCAAATATTTCGTCTTTTATTATTTTTTTAAAAAAAACCAATAA